AATATCGTTTATGGCCTTCAGATGCGTTACAGTATGCTCCTATTCTTTTTATGCTCAGCTACTAAGATTTCCCTTCAGTGGTAAAATTCCATATAAATATTCAATACTAAAATGGGCACAGTAAAGACATTTACTGTCAATCTTTCTACGACAGACCAACGGACCACAAGTGCCCCTGTCGGTCAACCAATCATGTACCGCGGTACCGCGCATCATCGTACGTCACAATGCGCGACACCGTAGCCAATTACCTCTGGTACGTGTCTGTACCTCGCACTTTGAATGGCTGCATTTGTATACCCGAGAGTCCTAAAATGTGTACAGTATATAGGATGAACACAACAAGATGAAAGATGAAAGTCAGTCAAATAGGAGAAAGGGGGTAAACAAAAAGATTATATTAAAAAGGAAAGCGATATTTAATAATAGTTATGATATAATTTAGTACCTCTGTATATGGGTGTTTACATCAAGAGTGGCCAACTCTAGTTTTGGAGTGATGTAGTCTAGCATGTTTTATACTGTAAGTCTCAGTAGTAATGTGCAACAGCATAAGAGCTGAAAAAGATTTTAAACGTCTCTGATTTTTCCAATAATTAGTACACCTAGCTTGATAAGAGCTGAGCAAGAGTGAAAACCAGCAGATACTAAGGCCATACACTGGAGTTGGATACAGTACCTCTAATTTGCAGCAGTTATTGTCCTATTCTGATTTTAATCACAGACAAGTTCAATTTTATTTTTCTTGCCTCAAAAGTGATAACCTTCTTAAGCAATGATGAATCACAGAAAATAAAGCATTGGATTCAGGTGCTATTTTTCCAACAAAGACGTACTGTAATCTATGGTCCAATGTCATTTATTTTTAACACATGGAAATCTTGATAGTTTCCAGACTTAAAAAAAATAATAATATAGAGATCTTTATTAAGTTATGCTGCAAAAGTTCTTCAGTTACTTTTGTTATTAATAGACATAGCATTACTTTAGAAAAGGAATATAGATTGCTTAATGATGCTTCATTACAGTTTTAATGGCATGTAGATGAAAACAAGTAGACACCTTTCTGTCTTGCTGAATCCACTCCCAGCCCTGGATCTTTTGTTCTGGGACCAACTCGAAGTAGAAGACTAAACTGAAATGTTCAGGAGTTGAATAACAACACAATAAGCAAATTTACAGGAATGTTTAAATTTTCACTAGCTTTAATGAAACTGAAACTCTCATAGAGAAATTACCTCTTTCTGTAAAGCACCCCAGAGTGTAAATCAGTCTTCACTTCACTGTAAATTTAGTCCTCAAGCACTGTAGACACTGACAGAATATAATTATTTAGTGCAGGTTATGTGGGACCCTCATTTTAATTAGAAAATTCAGACTTCAATATTTGTTTTTAAAATTTTTGATTTTTCCATTTGTCTAGTGTATACTAGTTCCACAAACTGCAGAACTCCTGTGAAGTGCACTTGACTTCTGTGCCATCGCTGGTGACATTTGTATTCCATCATACCCAGAACAAAAAACAACTCTACCATTGCCTGGATTATTGTATTTGCATAAAATCAAACACTAGGGAGTGCTGACAAGAAAAAACAGATCACTATAAGACTCCTCAGAAATAGATCAACAAGCATTATCTGGTGATGTGTTACAAGAAATTACATCTCAGTGCATGGAAACCCCACCGATTACTGTCAAACAAGCTATAATTTTCAATATTGCCTATGAATGATGTGCTGTTTTCCTATTGATTTCTTGCTATTGTTGGAAGAATTCCATTGATCTTATTTTACAGAAGAAACGGATTGCTTAAAGAGATTTTCTCATATGGGCATTTCTGCTGAATGGGGTAAAACTTAAAGGCCACTTATTTCATACTTAAAAAAATCTTTATAAACACCCTATACATTCACTTTCACATTACAACAGTAACATTGAGCCTATGTACAGGCAAGAGATCTGAGATCTAGATTGTAGTTCCTTTTTTGTGTAAGAATTTCTGCCTCACACAGGTAGCGCACTGTGGTATTCTCAACTATATCTCCTTCATCTCTGGGTTTGGTCCTCAAGTGGTAAAGTACCATCTACCAGACCTTAGGCTTACTGATCTTGTTATGATCACTCTATAAAGCACTTACACAAAACCTATGTTTGCCATGGAACTCCCCTGCTGTCCTGGAGACACATTTGCTTACAGTATTTGAATTGTGTTGTTAAAAATAAATTAAAGTACAATTCAGAATAGTACTCTTATTTGTGCCTAACTAGTACACTGTATATATTGTATATACTGTATATGTGTCTGAGTGAAACTGGACAGCCTTGGTACAGTATATGTGCTCAATTGAAGGCACTTGGGTTGTGACCATTTAATAATAATAAATAATTGCTTACACTTATATAGTGCTTTTCTGGACACTCCACTCAAAGTGCTTTACAGGTAATGGCTGCCATAATGCAACAGTACACTCACCACACACCAGCTAGTGATAGAGAACAGAGTGATGAAGCCAATTCATAAAGGAAAATGGGAAATTTGGCCAGGAGACCGAGGTTACACCCCTATTCTTTTTGAGAAATGCCCTTGAATTTTTAATGACCACTGAGAGTCAGGCCCTCAGTTTTACATCTCATCTGAAGAACGGTGCCTTTTTACAGTACAGTGTCCCAGCCACTATACTGGGGCATTAGGACCCACACAGACTGCAGGGTGAACGTCCTCTGCTAGCCCCACTAACACCTCTTCCAGTAGCAACCTTAATTTTTCCCAGGAGGTCTCTCATCCAGGTACTGACCAAGCTCATACCTCAGTGGGTTTCCAGTTGTGAGCTGCAGGGTGCTGCTGGCAGATGCCTTAATTAATTCTGATTTTTATCCATGTTAATCAAATAAATCTTGTTTATTTGACAAAATGAACATTGCAATTTTCTAAATAAAATAAAAGGAGAAAAATATTTTGCTTTTTCTAACAATACAAGTAACACATCTGACCATTATTTTGGTGGGTAATTATTTATTCCTTTAAATGTCTTTATTCATTTAAGCCTCTCATGGAAAACACAAATTACAGTGTATTCCATAAGTATTTGGACAGTGACACAATTTTTGCTTTTTTGTCTCTGTACTCCAGCACATTGGATTTGAAATAAAACAATGACTATGAGGTTAAAGTGCAGAATGTGAGCTTTAATTTGAGGGTATTTATGTCTATATTGAGTGAACCATATAGGAATCACAGCACTTTTAATACATAGTCCCCCCATTTCATGGGACTAAAATTGTGTCACTGTCCAAATGTTTACAGACTGCACCATATGTATGAAATACAATCAGTGGGTCTGTTGGAGGGTCACCGAAAATTTTCTTTTGAAAAAAAGCTTTTGTTGACAGATTAATACATCATTTTAGCACCAGCTGAAGTCTCTCCTCTTTAAACAAACTGCATTCTCTCAGTTAACCACTATACATAAAAGGGCAACCCTTACACTCCTTCTGTACAGCATCAAGGCTGTTAATTTTTAAATTGTACAGTATTCGACGTGTTGCTTTTAATTACTGCAAACACAGAACACATACTAACAGGATATCTACATGACTTCTTTATATCAACAATATTTGTTATGTTGTTACGTTTGGAATACTGTAAAAGAGTTAAGATTTTGTTGAGAAAGAACTCATGTTTTGAAATATAGCAAGGCTACATTATGCATTTGAGTTGTTTTACATTTCAGGTCCTGGGGCTCTTGTTTTTTGGCCAAAATCCTGGTGCCCTCTGCAAAGTTCAAGCTTACCTGAAAATGGATACTTCTGTGTGAAAATAATCCAAAGCATACATTCAACAAAGAAAGTTTAGTAACATGCACATAAAATAAATGTTTTTGACTGTCCAGCTCAATCTCCAAATTTCAGTCGAATCATACATTCGTTGTTTGTTATTGAAATCCTTATGTTATATGATGTTTTTTTTATTTTTCCATCTGGGGTGTGAATAAATCTGGGGGAAACTATATAATTGCTATTTTTGTTACTTAATCATTTTAGCTTACTACTTGTTAGATGATGGTTTATTTTTGTCCACTTTGTTTTAAGAAATGGAGAAAGTACTGTACATTTTCCTATAGATATTTTTTTTTCAAAATTATAATTTCTGTAAAACCCCCAAAAATTAATCTTTGCATCAATTGCATAATTGTTTAAGTTGCATCTTTTGTATATGGCTACAATTCCAACTACAACTTATACAAACTGCTATTCTAATCTTCACGAAATTGAAAAAGGAAACTTGAGAGTACTGGACATATTATTTAATCTTGAATAAAGTACTGTAGCTGCATTGAGCTGTTTTGTTATTCGGCACTTATTTTCAGAAGAGATTATCAAGTTAAGGTCTGAGAACCCCCTTTGCTTTCAAATGCTAATTCTGTGTTTTTTAGGCTTTACTGTATGAGATGCTCTACTACACCCTATGACAATGGCCACATGAATGCTTTCTCTCCCTCACACACAGATGCATAAACTTTACAGTGGATGTGACAGCAGTTAGTGGCTTCAGTTTTTAAAAGCTTTTTGAGTCAGTTGACGCATGGTGATATAAACAAATACAGAGTACTTACCGGTTACTTTAAACATGGTCTGGTTGCCTCTATAGATAAGACTGCCATCCTTATATAAAATATACTCAGTAATAATTCCATTGGGATGGTATGGAATACCCCAGAAGAGAGACAAATTAGTAGGATAGGGGTCAGCTTTGGGAGGATTTACATCTCTGGGAGCTATGGAAAGAGAAGGAAAACAAACAAAAGATTAACAGCAACATAAAAGTACTGTAATTCTACTTTCAAAGCTGAATTAATTTCATTATGAATGGTGGTATTCAATTTCTGTTGTGTTTTTCTCAACTCAAAACATGCTAGATGGTTGACAGTATTAAAATATGTTAGGCAGGATTCTGAAAAGTATAATGTTGCAATAATGTGGTGAGGTAACAGTCCAAGTTAAAATTAAAATTGCTACACATCCAACACTACTTAAAATAATTAAAAAAAAACGTTTTATTTATTAAGCAATATAATTTTTCACCAGACATAAAATTTGATAGTACTTTCAAAATACTTTCCTTTCTGCTACACACGAGTGATTTAACTTTAAACAGTAACCAATGCCCATTCACATTAGACATATGGATCATGATTTTGTGTGCGTTGCTTTGGATTACTATAGGGTATATTTAACTATATACTGTATATATACAGCAGTACAGAGCTATAATGATCTTTTATGCCATTTTTGATATGTAAACTATTTTTCAAAAGGACTTTTTTACTTCAATTTTAACTGAATTCCATGAGGGTCAGGAAAAAAGAAGGAGGGAAGAAAAGAGCAGCAATTTCTCCAGAGAAAACCATTGAGTACTCCTGGGCCTCACTTAATTAGTGTGCAGTGCATATTAAGTGAATATAGAATATCCATGACAAAAACCCTTAGCAGATTCTATGCATGCACAGGATCTGATAAATAATCTCTTATTCTGGACAACAGAACTGAACAAAAAACCTCTACAAAAACATAAACAGCATGCTCTATATATTGAGAGGCATTAAAATACAACACATTAGTTAAGCATCACATTTGACTAAAGTTGTAGGCAAAAACAATAGTCTGTATATAATACTGTTACATTCATAACACATTAATGTTCAAATTGAGGTTCTCTTTTTCAAAGAAAAAGTTTGATCTTTCATGGTTACAGATCCACTCAATTCACATACCAATTGTGTGATTCTAGAGGTGCTCTATAGACATATACTGTACAGTATGTCAGGTGAATACAATGGCCAAAGCGCTTACAGTATGCCATGCCATATGTGAATAATGCATGAGACATATGTCACTGTTTTGCATGCATGAGGGCATAATTTTACATTATAATACATTATAATGTGTGGGGAAAGAACATTGTCTCCAGAGTGTTACACAAAGAGCCATCAAGAAAGTCAAAAATGAATTTCAGCCATACTATATTGCAGCTCTTAATGAACTAAGAAAAGTGGTATCCAGGTGTGTTTATGGCAATTTGAGATGCAGGACAATGTTGTTCTTGGAGATATCTCAATTGGACATACCAATCTTGCGTAAGGGTGATGACGCACAGCTGTCGATCATGTGTTGAATCCATCAGAACGTATTGTAACAGCTGAAGGGATATTTGATATTGTTGACTGGCTCACAGTCTTCACCTAGCATCTCATGTCCTCTTCACTTCTAACCTGTGGCAAGTTCTACCATATACATGTATTGTATGTTACAAATACAGTATGAGATTTCACATTTTATTAGTAGATTGTTTGGAAGTTAGTGAAATGATTTTACTCAGATATTGGAGTTACAGTATACTGTTCTTCTGGGAAATGCCTAGAACCAAAATCATTTGTTGTATTTTCAGTCCCTCTCAGTATACAGATACAACCATGTAGAATGTGCAAGGTGTCAGTAGATATGCAACGATGTCACGGACTCAAAGTTCTTAAAGACTGCATTACTATGTAAGGCTTCCAGGTGGCACAGTGACTCTGTAATGTAGGATATTGTTATCATGTTGCTACCACAACTTCAAATGAGATATGTCACATAAAACAGTATATAGGATAATAAGTAATTGTGCATAAATAGTAATTAGAAAATATGTGAGTTTATTTTAGATATAATTTTTCTAATTATAAAAATATATATTATACATAGTGGCATTAAAAACATACAGTATTTAAAAGCAAATAAACATATAAAAAAACAAAAGAGAGGCCAGATTAAAATAAGTTTTAAGTAATGATTTTAATGATGTTGTTACATATTGTAAATTGTAAATGCTAGGAAATTAGATTACATGTTTTGTAAGGGGCACGATGTGCTAAGTTGACAAAAGTAATTAATAGCACGCTGTATGTGCAAAAAAACATTGGAAACACTACTGTAAAGGGTAGATAAGATTTGATTCATGGAATGGTAATGTTTTTCATTTATTAAGATCCATATGATGTATTCAGTCCTTCCTTCGACTTGCTATACTGCTGCTTTAGACTTGGAACTTTCCGTTAGGAGAGTGGACAGGGGGAACGATTACTAAGTTGTGCTCTTAGTTTAATTAAATGAGGGCAATGAAAACACTGAAGATTGACATCTCTTTTCAGTATTCTTTATTTACAGGTCAGTAATAATTTATTTGCTGTAAATAACATTAAATCCTTGTAAAAATCTAGTGTAATCTTCATTACACTATTAATATAAAATATACTGTATGTGATGTTTGAGTCTTCTTAATGTATACTGTATGTAAAATTTATTGTTATACAGAGTTGGAGCTATAACAATGTTAATTCTCAGTTGTTAACATTGCTTTAGTTATAAATAAGACGCTGTGTTAAGTTATTTTATTTTATCTGTAATACTAAGTTGTGCTCTTAGTTTAAAGAACAAAAACAATAACACTAAAGATTCTCAATATTGAGGCTTTCAATATTCTTTATTTAGAGTTAAGGGGATCTCGTGCTTTTATGGCTGTGACCTGTAACACTACCGTATCACAAATACAGACTTCAATAATATCTGAAAAAAAAAATTATTTGTTAGATACATAGTTCAAAAGACTGTTAAATCTTTTTATATGAAAATGTAATTGTTTCCTCAAGTTTCCTTTTTAGGCTAAAATGGAGACAGATTTAAATTTACAAATCACACAAATGCAATGAAATGTTATTCAAATTCAAAAAATCCAGCCAATCCCACCCCCAGACAGGCTGCAAAAGAGCAGTTTGCAGGTGTCGTAATCCTCACATTTAGTAATGTAATTACCTGTAAATACATTGACTATCCAGAGTGTGCTACTAATGGAAAAGTTTCTGGAAAATAAGACGCTATATCTCAGGAACGAAAAAAGCTTGGAAGCTACTTTCAATAACACAAAATGGTACTATAGAAGCACTAGCAAATGAGACCTGTTCAGTTAATAATAATTAATTTGCTTCCAGATCCAGCTGTGATCAACACTTGAGACAATTACCATTCCACTTAATTCAAAGTGCAAATATGTTGCCAAACAAGAAAAAAGGGCATAAACATTTTTACCTATTTTAGCAACAACATTGTTGCAAAATACTGCTTTAAAGCCATAGTAAGTTTTTTTTCAAGGTTACATGTTTATAAAGTGGTATGTACATGGTTTATAAAAACAACAACATACTTTTAAAAGTCCAACTTTCAAAAGTCCAAAACATTTTCCCTTCAAGTTTCTGTTGATGCAAATGAACCCAGACCTAATTTCCAGGGCCCATGCCCTGTCCATTGTTCCTAGACAGTTTCTGTTTGGTGACTGTGGCATGTACTGTACAATGGGCTTTCCCCGGAACTATCAGGAAGAAAACAGTAGTTGCTGACCAGAAGTTTGTACTTCACCATGAATACTTCTCCATTAATAACAAACTACCCTTTTCTTCCTGATAGTCTTTGCCTTTGATATTCCCCAAATCAGGACATTCTGCTGACTTTTTAAACCTAATTCATTCCACACAATTCATTGAAGTTATCAGATGAAGTTTAATAAAAAAATATGTACTTCTCAGTTTAATATCTAATGTGTCCCCAGTACAAATGGTGATGAACAATAGTGTGAATCACTTCAGTGAGCTGTGCAGCTGCTAATTGTTTGCTGTACATCTTGTTTGGATTGTAGCAGCAGCTAGTAACAAAGAATTCTGAATTTTGTATGCCGGACAGGACTGTGGGTTACCATGGAGTGTTTTCGTGAGTTTCAACGTGTATTGTAGATGGCTGCATCTGTATATGCTGCTTATTAAAACAAACACATCACTATATTTATGCTTGTGTATTTTTGGAAGAATAAAATATATGGACTTTAGATATTGGTTAAATGTTTTAAGTGTCATTTTGAATAACTGATCATTCATGACTGAGTTGATATACTTACATGATTTTGACTGTTTCTATTAAATTGCCTCATTATGTTTATAAACAGGCAAGAATGTACAATCCAACACAGTCCAGATACCACTCCAAAATTGATAGGGAGGTCCAGGTCTGGGCATTCTACATAATCACATCTGTAGTGATTGATGGCAACTTGACTGCAAAGTACTACATTGTTCCTAGAACCTCACTCACTGCCATTCCTTTGGGCTTTTACTAATATGACAACACTCAAGCAGGACATTATATGTCCTCATACTGCTCATTTAACAGTAGTTTTCTTGGAAGATGAGAATGTTATGCCATGGGTCCCCTAAGTGCTAGCTAGACTTTAGCCTCGGTGAACCTGGATAATGTGTGGCATCAAAGCTTGGTCTCCTGCATTTTTTGAAGGATCCCAGAAAATCCACTTGATTAGCATGGCAGTGTCCTTTGTTCCACATTCTCACGGTCTTTGTGAAAGAGTTTTTGTCCAAAATGCATCTCTTCTTAATTACAATTTTTGATGGTACCCTGATTTCATTGTGGAGTTTAAAGAACTCTCTTTGGCTGACATTGTCTTTATATCAAGGGATTTCAGTCCTTGAATCAAATCCCCATGTAACCTCCATGGAATGCCACGTGCTATTTTAATTTCCTTGTCAACTATTTTCAACCCTACCCTGGCAGCACTCTGCCAATTGTGCATCACCACTTGGGGATTTCCAGTCACACTTGGCTAGTGACATGACCAATGTTCAAACTACTGACTCCAGATCATAGAGCCCACCACATGCTCTTTGAATTTAGAAAACAAAACACATTGATAGCGGAGTGTTAAGGCTTCATTTTTTTTTTTACATTTTTTAAAGTACTTTCATATATTCTTCACAGCATAACTGAATATATTTTGTCAGGGTTCCAATTTCATTTCTGTGGACTTTTCAATATATGTTTTTTGTACAATATATGTTTTTATGTACAAATATACAGTAATGGTCAGATAATTTGGGGATAACAATGAAAACGACATTGTTAAAATATAAAAATGAAATAGAGGATAAAAAATGTTTATTACAACTGTTTCAATATATTGGACATCAACATGATTTCTGAACAAGTTTATGAACTTTTGTTTTTAATAGACTGCAAGAGTCCTTGGAGAACCGGGGAGTTGCACCTTCCTTCCTGGTTACCATATTTCTTAAGTGATTACTGTTAATCAAAAAAAGTATCAGTAGTTAAATGTAAATGTAAAACTTGATCTATATAATACTGTTCTACAGCCACAACCAGACACATACTGTATACGGTAGATAAATTGTGTTAAATTCAGTTTAAGCACCTATAGTACAAATTAAAACTGTAATTTCACTGTAATAACGTCAGCCTTTAATTGACCTTTTTACTCTACAGAGACTACTAAAATCATGATATTCCTCAAACACAACCCAAAGATTTCATTAAGGCCAGGCTAAACATAGACTACCAGGAGAATGAGAGAGGTTGCTCAGACTTATCAAAACCTTTACTGAAAAGGCATAGTCACACAAAATATGCAAAACTAAACCAATAATATTTATGAACACATCCATAAGCCATTAAGAAAAATAACTGTCATATGTGATTAATTTGTCTTTATTCTTCTATTGTTTTATGTCAGTATGTTCCTTGAATATCCATGTTATTTGTTTTAAGCTGTAAGCTGCTCAGTTCATATTCAGAGGAGAGATTTGTTCCATACATACAGTTAAATGACAAAGCAAATAAAGAAACAGAATGAAAGCTCCACTGCCTCAGTGACTGTTTCAGCAGCAAATCTTTAAGCAGCCTTCAGCAGTTCAAAAGAGAGCATGGAAATCAAGCGTTTGATTCTCAATTTCATACTTTGCTATACAATCAATTCTTTTTAGCCAGACTGTCTCTAGATTTACTTCTGTGGCATAGTAAAATGAAGAAGCTTTCATTAATCTTTCAGATGCCTCGTATTAATGACAAGGCTCTTGCATGAACAATGTAACAGCAATTAAAAAGCCCATTAATCTGCATTACAGCTATTAAAGATGCATGTCATTAAAGGGTATAGAGTTTGATTCATTTTCACACACATCCCCCCTCCCCCAAAAAATGGAGCAATTATAGGCTGGCAATGCACTTTGTCATCAAATTAGTTTGGAGTTTTCCAGCAAATGGCTCTGTACCATTTTAGCTCTTCTCTGATTTTATTATTCATCAAAGAAATGTGCGAGTCAAGACCCTCTAAATTACTTTACCCTCTTGTGGAGTGCTGATGTTCCTTCCATGGAAGCTCTCAGAGCAGCCAGCCAGGGTGCACACTGTTAGGGTAATGCTATAGTTTGTAAAAGGAGCTAGGCCAGTTAAATTGCCTGCAACAGAAGAAAAAGGCAAGTGTCATTCTATTTTTTCATATTTCAAATATGTTTTAAAACTAACGGTACTAGCTCTAATGCAATTGCTTCTCAAACATAGCATAATATAACCATCAGTTCTCATAATAGGCCTAAATTAAAAAGATCTTTATTATCAAGTAGTAATATCACCTATTAATCATAGAAATGAAAGATATCAGAGGAAGATATGGAATATGGGACACTAATGATGTGATTTAATAGTGACAAAATGTAGATAGTAGGTCATACTTTTGCACTAACTTTGTATTTAAAACGTTTAGAATTTCTTTTTTTTCTCTGTAGTGCACTGAAATGGGTCCTCATGTGTGGTATATATCTTTATAGATTTGTTTGTTAATACTATATTCATAAATGGTAAGCGTAAGAAATTATAAGAATTATAATTAAGAATTAGGTAAGTTTCTAAACTGTATTCCATTTTTTTCCTTGCATAAGCACTATGGATTTTTTTTTAATTGACCTCAGATTGCATTGGTTTTAATTAATTTTGTGGTTTGCAGATTAAGATGTATTTAATAATTTACCAGAGAGAAAATGCCGTCTTCTAACGTTTTTTATTTGAATGACTCTTTGGCCATATTCCATATAATCTGTTCTCCTTCATTATGTTAATCTGTGGGCGGAAAGATTGCTGTCAACTTCATGTAGTTTATACAGGGAAGGTAAACACCTTGGCTTGTCTGTAATTGGCCAGGTGGCTTTTCTGACACCCAGTGCTTAATTCAATTAAGCCAATGACTAGTCCAATCATCTTTTACTGATTTTCTTTCTTTTTATAGTAAATTGTCTTTTATTGGAAATAGTTTTTATTATGTGCTTTTACCTACTGTACATATATAAAAATGAATGCTTAATATAATGTTAAAACATTTAATTTTATTTATAGAATACATATATTTCTACAATATTTAGAATATTTCTCCTAACAGAAAAATCTCACCACATGTGACAAATATGTCTCTATAATCAGTAAAAGTGATAGAATTTCAATCCTACTCTACAGTCTTATGTAGAGTAAGACTTACAGCCCAAATGATAACATTAGATAATACAAAAGGTTGAAGATATTTGTTTTAAAAAATGAAAGAAAAATATTGGCTATTGACTTTAACCTTAATAAAGGAATATTTTAAAATGGTGTGACCGTGTAAAATTTTTAAATTCACTGATTATTCAATTTAAAAAAATAATCACAAATACAGGTGATAAAGCTGGAAAAAATAAATGATAAATAAGATAAATAAGTGATGCATCTGTTTTTATTAAAACAAATTATAGCAGGTTCTGCAAATTAAAACAAGTTACACAAAAGTAATTTCTTCCAACTGTAAAAAAATCTAAAACTACTTGGTAAATAGATGGTGAGACTGATAATGAAAAGAGAGTCACTCAATGAAAAGAAAATCTCACTGAGCCAAAAGTGAATCAAAATCTTTGCTGCTTCCATTTGCTTGGGGACTTGTGGCTCAGGATCTCATCGCTCTGACCACTTCAGATGGACTTATTACTGCCCCTCAAGCCTTAGAAATATCCAATAAGAAATAAGTTTATCCAATTCCTTCCTTACAACCATCCACCTCTTTCTGACTATTTAATGATTGTTTAATAACTCTCATAGTCTAAATGATAATACAGTATGGATTATATTTTTTATAAGGTTTCGAGTATCTATTTTGAGTGTTTACAAAGTGTTTCATAAGTATTGATGTACAGCAATGTCTATGGCATTGAAATTTTTATTAAAATATTGTTATCGAGACTGTAAAGATTGCAATGTAATTCTAACTAGTGGTATGAGTTTATAGGGTAAAATATTTTAAGGACTACTAAGTATTAATACATTTGTACATGTGCAAAACTTTGCAAACTCTTGGATAGTTAAAGAAAAAGCCATCATAGAGGAAAATTGTATTATAATTCACACACATTAGTAACTTGGAGACAATGTTGGAATGAAAATCACACCAGAAGCTTGCATATGTTAAATAATTTAAAAATAGGAAATTGGATCATGGGGCAAAAAGATCTAATAAGCTAGAAAATAAATTACACGAAACATAGGTTGTGTATAAATTAGTATCCTCTGTAGACACCATTGGAAATATTTTAATGACATACCGTAGAAACCCCTGATCTGCAGAACAATGAAAACCTTCAAATATGTTTTTCCTACTTTTACACTCTAACATACAGTATAATTCACTACTACAATCCTCATACTTCAACAGGAAAGGTGTTGTCTAAATTAAATTGCTACCCATTTTATTTGCAATTTCTGAGACTTTTGAAAAACAAAATGCTCTCATGTATATTTGGTATTTTTTATTAGTGTATTCTTGTTAAACAAAAAAAAAACATGATTCTGATGTAAAAAAACAATTAAATATCCTATTTCTTTCTATAAATTTTAAAAAACCTAATTTCTATAAGATCAACTATGATATATTAATAAAGGCTATTGACATTACAGAAATTAGTATGCACTTATTTTGTCCTATTGTCTTAGTTTTCCAAAATGCTATTCTTTACTTTGGTTGCAAATTTACTTCAGAGTTCAGCTGGTACTTGCCCCCAGAAAGTTTGAGAACCTTTATGAAATGCCATATTGCAAAATAAAGACCTGTTACAGACAGAATGTGTATATACAGTATATTGTAGTATGTATGTTTTATACTGTGAAAACTTTTATGTATACTAAGTATGTTTTCCCAATATTCCATACCCCATACATAATGGTTTATTCTTTATAGTTTTTGAGTCTTGTTCAGAGACTTCTAACAGGGATATTTGAAAATACATATTTCTAATTTTATTTGCAATGCAATGTATTTAATGAAATGTATTTAAATGTAAATACATTACATACAGTACACAGCCAGTGAGTCAAGCTGCTGCAGGAACTTCAGGATGAAGGGAGAGAGCAAGGGAATATGCGTGGGAATTGAGAATTGGAAGTTAAGGGCTGTGTCAGGCAAAAGCAAACTCTCAGTGCAAGTAAAGTCTGCCTCAGGAGGTGAGATATTTATTCCTACTAAAGATGCAGACAACCACCGGGATTGTCTGTTCCAGGCAATAACACATTGGTGTTGTACAAAGCAACTAACACAAAGTTTCAGTCTGAAAAATTAAATCTGTATCTAAAAATAAATAGAAAATTATATAAATGCAAACCTTTAGGCATGAAGATAGACTTATAAAAATCTGGGCAGTTTCACCAACAAAAGCATTGGTCCATTTTAAGTCAAAGCATTCCATCCATTCCATTTCAAAACTGATCATGCTTTCATTGCATTTTTTTCAGAATTCTATTTTTCTACATATTTTTCATTAAATACATGTGTGAAGCAGAACAGCATTATCACAAATATACTTGAAAAGAGTGTGTGTTTTTCTGTGATTGTTCTAAAGCTAGTTCTACAAGATAATATGTGTTTATCTAGGAAATACCAGGGGCCTTTTACTACCATTCTGGAAAAAGCTTTCCTTTTCTTTTTTAACAATCTTAAAGAAAACAACTTGCTACTAAAGCCTATCCCTGCCCCACCTTTCAATGAACCGCACTTACCTGTCAGGTGATAGCTGCCTGGGAATTCGGCAGTGATTGGAGGCATGCTGGGATTGTCCCGATTGTATGCTTTTAAAATGTACTTCTCAATTACACCTCTGACCCCGGCAGTCTCGTCCCAGCTCACCTCAGCACGGTAACCATTTACACTGCTAACTCTGGAGGGAGTCAGCACACTTTGTGGAACTGCATGAGGATAAAAATAAGAGAGAGAGAAGGCAATGGGAGAGTCAGCCCCAAGAAAAGCAGCACACATATTCTTCACTTTTAATAGATGCAGTAAATCATATCTAACCATTAGCATAAATACAATTTATTAGACTTGTAACTTTTTCAGCACTGATTTAATATGACTGTACATCTTCTACCATTCATTCTAGGCTATATTTCAAAATGATCAATCAATCTGCTTCTTTTTGCACTAGGTTAATCTTTAAAGAAACATTAATTGAGGTTTTTAAGAAATATACAAATATGTTCCATCTCGTTTTTTTAATCCAAGAAATCAAAATCTTTCAAAACATTCATTTTTTTTTCAAAAATCATATTGATATTATAATTAATATATTTAATATATCCTGATTTTCATTTAAAAAACAAACTGTTCTCTTGTTGAATTGTACAATTGAATTTCAACATAATGCATTTGATTGATTTAATGTCCTGCAAATATATGTTGATTTACTAGACTCATTCCCACATGCTTGAAATTAATTATAACAGCTCAATTTTTTGGTTGAACAACTGTTATGACATGCCAAACACAAACATTTCATTATTACAATAACTCTACATTAATACTATTTACAAAACTTTATAATTATATACATTTTTGGGAATGGTATGCTGTGCTAAGATATAGCACATTGCTTTAACAATGGAAATTTAATCATAACATTGAATTGGAATGTCACAAAAATGTACTGTAAATACACTGTATAATACTGTCAGAGGTTTTCAGCTAAATTTGTAAATGGTCATCCAATAGCTGGAACCTCTAGGACCTCATTCTCCATTGCATGCATGGCATTTTTACAGTTAATTGTTTTGTTTTCCTTTGGCACATTTTGTTGTATTTGGGTTAATTAAAAATATGTAATATTACAGAGTACAATGTGGACATTGTAGGGGTACCAGGAACTAATAAGTAGAGTGCCTTTACTTGAACACAACTGCCAATGTGTGTTTTCATACAACCATATACCCATTGACTAGACACGCTTGCACCAAGCACTTTGGCAGCCAGCTCAAACTTCATTACAGATGACTGTTCCGGCTGCAGACACCTGGGCCAGCCAGCAGAGCAACACGCCAGGATGATTAATATAGAGCTCAAACAGCCCGCATGTGGACTCTGCAGCTACTCCACCAAGACGCCCATGTTTTCCCCTATCCAATTTTTAAGGTTTAAATGCCAGCAAATCCTTAAGAATATTTCAGTATTTTGCTATTTCTCATTAGATATTCCATATTGAATGTGCCAGTTTTCATTAAGTTGCACATGAAGTGATTATAAAGTCTTCTGTTTTTTATTGCTAAAACAACTTATATTGTTATAAAACCAGAAATGCCGGTAATGAAATAGTATTAGTTATAGTCACTGCAGTGGCTTGACATATTTTGAACGGGTCTTTAAAGGTACCCATTCAAATACACTCACAGATTTATTTTTTATTCCATTGTGTTAAAGATTTTGTTGTCCAATAATTAACCTACTTTCCAATGTGTTTAATAAACTGGCCTACATACATAAAAGTAGAGTTACATATAAGATAGCATTCTCCCTTTGTGTCTGTGTGTGTTTTCTTGGGGTGGTCTAATTCCAAGGACATGCTGGTAAGGTTAATTGGTGTCTCTAAATGTCCCTGTGCGTGTTTGTGTGTGTCCTGTTATAGAATGGTAACCCAGTGAGGGTGTTGTTTTGCCTTGTACCCTGTGTCTGCTTGGTTGCTGCAAATCTCTGGAGGATAATTGTTTTCTGTTGTTCATCTGTTTTGAAAAATTAAATATTAACTCTTAAAAAATACCAGCCATAGTTTACACCTGTTTATATTCTACACTATATTTTAAAGAGTCACATAAATCATTCTGGATACTAACTTAAGAAGAAAAATGATCATTATGATGATGATGATGATGATGATGATGATCGTGATGGTGATGAGGAGGAGGAAGCTGTTTTCCAATTTAAAAAAAATCAATAAAACACAAATGTATGTTAAACTTTGTATGCTTTCTGAACACAGCCTGTCATGTTCTTCTTTTCTGTAATTTGTGAGACTGTCAGAATGTCAAGACAAACACACCGGCAGCACAGCCTTTGCATTATTTAATCAAGCAGGAGAGGAGCACAATGTGAGAGGCTACATCTTTAGAAAACAATACAATATCTAACCCTTTCAGTGCCTTCCTTCAGGGAACTGTTGTTTATTTCATAGGAACAGCTGCTTCATTTATAATAAGCCACTCATTTTGATGTGGACTGTTACAGAGCAGAACACGATAAGGTATCAGGAGTGCCATCTCATCTCGTTGACTGCTACATTCATTGTACCGATAAGAATAAAATGGGATTTTTGAAAACTATGACACAAACAAATATGTGCGCTTCTCTGATTACACGGCACCTGGGATTTTCCCTGCTTACCTGCTTCTCTTGTGCGACCAAGAACCCAGGGGCTGGAGGTCAAACCACCTTCACTTGAGGCAATGACCCTGTATAAGTATTCTTTGAATGAGGGAGGAATTACAATTTTAGAATGTGAAATAAACACACATTTAATCTTTTCCTGAGAGCAAACTAAAAGAAGATTTACAACAGGGTTCTCAAACCTCCACAAAGTCTTTTGGTCTTTCCTATCAGTTTCTTTGCTTTGGCTCGGCTACTTCATTCACAAAGTTGTTTTCAGAACTGGAAATACACTGAACATCACTTGTAATTGCAAAATATTCACAGTTTAATAGCTACATTGAACTCTTAATTAAAAACTTATTGTACTGTACTGAACATATTGTCTATAGAATCACCAGCATAAGGACCGATCAAAATAAATTTATAATTTATGACTGCCACAAATTCACTAACCTATTATGAGGAAAAATATTTATTGTACCAGTTGCACTGATATTTTATTGAACAGACATCAGATAGGCAAATTAATTTTGCTTATTATCATTTGTCAATAAAATGATCGACAGGGGTCCACTGTGGAAGTCATAGGTTAGAAATGTGTGGCCTCCACTGGAAGCAATACAAAGTGTTCAAATTTCATTCATGCTAATCCCTAATTTTCAAAATGGGGTTCAGGTCTGGCAAGAGGGCATCCTGGATATATATGGTACATTCTCATCGCGCAAGAATGCCATGCTTACATGAGCAGCAAGAGAACCTGCTGGAATGCTGTCATCTCAAGATGACCCTGAAGGAAAAGCAATAAGTATGGTCCCAGCTCTTGATCAATATAATGTCATGCAGTCAAGTGGCCATCAATCATCACAAGTGGAGTTCTGTAGCAACTAGACACTCCTGCTAGATCATCACACTTGGACCTCCCCATTGACTGTCTCTTGCACACAACAATCAGCATATCATTCTGCACACCTGTGCCACAGTCATTTCTGTCCATCAGGGTGGCCCACACAAAACATTGATTCATTGCTAAAGTGTTTTTGATCCCATTGATGGTTTCATATACAGTAAAGAATCTATATATTCTTATATAGTCTAACCTATATACAGATGGTATGAAGGCATTGCTCTCTTAATATTGGAGAATATTGTTTCATTTGTTTTTTTTCACTAGCATTGACATTCAACAGGTTATTTTCTTGTCATCACCTTTGCCTAATCAACTGTTCCATTAATGAGGTAATTTAATGTTTATACAACAAAGTTATTCAAATTTATCAATCACAGTCAATCATGACACCAAAAATCTTTAATTCTTATCCAATATCCATATACTATATCTTTCTGCACATCTGCATTATTTACTTTTTGCATGGTCTACCGTGTTTTTTTTCCAATACTACATATTTATTTTTCTCCACAGCATATTGTCCTGTTGTTATTCTTTATTGTTTGTATGTTATGAGAGATCAGAGCAAATACAAATTCCAAAGTACATGTATATTTGGCAATAAACTTCTCTACTTCTGTACTCCTTAATCACTTCACAACCTAGATTTCCTGGAATATGCCAATATTATACTTATGTCATTACCATGTGGTGCAGGCTTTTATCACATTTATAATGAATTATATTCTTAATAAATTTGACAATTGCTTTTAAATACATAACTTTTCTACTGTCATGGTCAAAATGCTGTTGGCTCTGATACTTTATGAATGATGCCTTTTATCATTTAGACTGGAGAATATCCTATAAAATGCTAATCATAAAGGGTGTTTGCAAATACTTTTCGAAAATAGACATGTTGAGTCCTTTCTATCAATATCCTTCCTTACACCGATCACTCTTATGAAAATATTATGTAAAGAAGACAAAGGAACTGAGAAGCATTTGTATAAACACTTTCTGAAGACAAGGACTTGTAACAAACATTGTTGATTGTAGATTGATTTTGGCCTACTTTATACTGGTTCTCCCTTATAAAGGAGATGCAAGTTCAGTGGGGGCACCTGTGTATCACCTGTAGTTGTATTTTCAATAAAACTTCAATGATACTGGCAAAAAAATGTTCTAAAGTAACCACAAATTTCAGCCTTTTATGTCAGAAGAGAAAAACACTTATGATTTACATAACTGAAACTGCTAACCGCATCCAGTTACATAAGTCCTGTAACAACATGCTGTAATAAGACATCATGTGGATTTGGAAAAAAGAACTCACAGTCTCAGCCTTAATCTTAGGCCCTTTCTGATATATTAAACATTATGAGGAGAAATTTCATAAAGTTGTCTCTTACCAGTGAATGGCTGCAGATGCTGGTCTTGTACTCTTCTTTCCTTGCCTGTATACACCAGAATGGAGTCATTTCCCCTGCAGTTAACTGTGGTGTCAGTTGACAGGCATCCATCCAGATTGACTCTGACAGCACTGCTGGACACAGCCGCCAAGTTTACGACAGCCCCTCGTGTGAATTTAACATCCTTTATACAACCACCGAAACCTGGCAAGCAATAAGAAATTAATGTCACGTTTCTTGGCTTCTGTTGTATTGAAACCAGCACAATCATGCACTTGGAAAATAAAACTCTGTCCAGATTCCAGGGAATCCAGACATTGTCTTCTCTAAATCTCAGTATATAATGCAAATATAAAAATACTGTACATTTTAACAGAATATAGTTTTTGTCTTGACTTTCCCATTAGCAACTCTGGAAGGCTGTTTTTATATTGATAGTGACTTGACTGCAAACTTAGCTTTTTCCTTAACACACAGTAGTTACTTGATTTGCAGCCTACTTAGTAATATCAAAAAACAAATAATTTCTTGTTACTCTAAAACTGCAATTCAGATGTACATTATTTACTGGGAAAAGTACAATTGTTGTTATAAGATGACAGTAACAGTCATCAGACTGATATATTATAATATACCACCACTGATATATTATAAAAATCTATGAAGGCCCCATTCATACATACTGTACAGAAGGTCTGGTATGTATATGTAGAGCTGTAAGGGTCTATAAATGCATACAGCTAAAGTAAATTTGAAAAAGTGAATTGACCATCTAAACAGTACTCTCCTGGATGTTGTAGTAAATGAGAATTTATTTTAAATTAATTAATCTACAGTAGTTGACAAAACATGTAAGTACAGTAGAGTTGCAATTATCTGACCTAAACGGGACCGATAGTATGTCGGATAATTGAAAATGTCGGATAATGCAGAAATGCAGAGTGGAGAAATCATAGATTCATGGAAGCGCAGTATAAGTATGAAATCTGGTTTATTCATCTACTTTAATACTAAAATAACAGAGTACAGAACTATCGTTAGTTATTATTTAAAAAAATGAGTGAAATCTGTTTCCCAGATGTGGTTCTCTTCCTTGCAGCAAGGTCTCGCCAGCATCTTAGAAACATGATATCAGTAGCAGTTGCCTCCTCTTGTTGTTCAATGTAAGCTAGTGTTGCTTCAAAAATACAATAGGAAAAATAATAATCACGAGCACGAAATCAGCAAGCAAAGCTACGTCAACGGCAGTACCTGACACAGAGAGACACAGCAGCATCGGATTTGGCAAAATATTATGTACACGCATGCATAGTCTACAGTATATACTATACACTATGGTGATTTGCTATGTTGGATAAAACTGAATGTCAGATAAGCGAAGGTCGGATATTCGCCACTCTACTGTCAATGCCTTTTCCATAAAAAATTAATGGGTTGCAAATTTTGTTTGCTGTGAGCAACATGTTGAAAGTTGTAGAAATAACAGACGTACTGTAACCTACAAATAAAGCATTTATTAATTTCCTTGTCACTGTATATAACATGGAGATCTCAATCCAAACACAGTAAAATTGTTTATCTTGCCAATCAAATCCTGTTTCTTGAAGAGACTTCCAGCTAATGGGATCAAAAAAGAAAAAAACATCTTCTAGCCTTCCTCACCATGTTGTAGACCTAGACTGTGGAAGGAATTGTAAAGTTCAGCTGGAAGTCCTCCAAGATATATGGGTGAGTTAAAATTCAGTTCCTCTTCCACAGACCCTGCTACTTGCTCTGAAAGCTGATTCAGGGTGGCCTCCACAGATGAGCCCTGCTTCCTCAACAACACTGTGTTCCAGGTCCCGTCGCAGTAAGACAGACCAACCCACAGGTTTACTTGAGTGAAGTAATGATTCCACTTAAGGATGAAGCTCAGAGTCCCACTTTGCAGCTCCACCTTGAAAATAAAAATATTTTTTTAACAAATGGACTGATTTTTCCTGTAGCCAGAAAGTTAACAAATGGCCGAATATAATTCATTTCCTTTGAAAAGGGTCCATTGATCACAGTTTCCAGTTAATTACAAATAAGTACCGTACCCTGACCCTGAAATCCAGGCTCAATAGCCAAGCAACAACATCAAGAATAAAATACCTCTGCTAGGATTCATATACTCTAATAAAGTTATTTAACACTTTCTTTACCTTTCAGCATGATTCTTTACACTTAATTAGCGATCTTCTGGACACTCCACTATAGATGCTTTACAGCTAATGGGGATTCTCATCCACCATCACACACCACCAATGTGAAGCACACACCTGGATGATGCAATGGCAGCAAGAGTGCACCAGTACACTCAACACACCTCAGATATCAGTGGGGAAGTGAACAGAGTGATGAAGCCCATTCATAGATGGGGATTATAAAGAGGCCGTGATTGGTAAAGGCCAATGGGAAATTTGGCCAGGATGCCGGGGTAACACCCCTATTCTTTTTGAGAAATGCCCTGGGATTTTTAATGACCACAGAGAGTCAGAACTTCGGTTTTATGTCTTATCCGATGGATGGTTGCATTTTTACACTATTGTATCCCTGTCACTATACTGTGGCATTAGGACCCACACAGATTGCAGGGTATGTTCTCCCTACTAGCCAAACTAACACCTCTTCCAGCAGAAACCTTAGTTTTTCCCATGAGGTCTCCCATCCAGGTACTGATCAGGCTCACAACTTCTTAGCTTCAGTGGGCTGCCCATTATGAGCTGCAGGGAGGTATACTGTAGCTGCTGGCTAATATGGAATGAACTTATTGTATACCTGCTCCTCTGTAGGACACCTACTCAAACTTATTTAACACTTGTTGTGGATTTTATTTTCACAGCTTTTAGCTTTTTGCAGAAATATTTTATAAATGAATAGACACACTAGCTACAAACAAAACAGGTGTGAAAAAAAAGTTTTTCACTTAATTTGATCATTTAAATTGAACTTTGTTGAAGAAAAATGATAAACATTTACATGGCATCGTCATTTGCAAGTTTTCCCTATATTTTATTAGTACAGTAGCACAGTTCTATCACTAGAGCTCAAATGGCCCAAGCTGCTACAACCACGAGACCAGCTCCATGGCTTGAGGGATTCAAATACATTTGAGATACTTCTTGGAAGCAGTCATAATAAGAAATGAATTCATACGATAACTAATACAACTCATCTTCAGGTAATCAACTAATCTCATTTTAGTAATATAAGGATAATCTACACAGTTCTATTTTTGCAGTAAAATTAAATATTAAGGCAATGTAGTGAACCGTAAGATAATTTCCTATTTTTTCAAATATTATGCGTCTTGAACAATTCAGAAATTTTACCCAAAAAAAAGTTCAGATCAGTTTTTAAAACACAGCTTTGCTCCTGCAATACCCACAATCACATAGCCGTGTTCTGCTTCATTATATGCAAACAACAGCAGGCCACTCAGCTGGTCTGTTCTGAAATCAAAGGAAATCTCAAAATCTCCTTTTCCAGCAAACACGAATGGATAAAGTTCCAAATATCCTGAAAAAAGAAAAAAAAAGCTTTATAGTACATGCAATGCTTATATGGACATTAACAGCAAAAGACATTAAAAGCAAAATAAAATTTAAAAATACAGTACTCTCTAGGGGAATACAGTCACCTTCAAAGGGATTTTTTTTTAAATCTTTTATTCTAATTCTCTTTTAATTAATGCATGGGCGAAGTAGAACTGCTACAGTAAATTAAAAGGGACCAAATATATTAAATGATTCACACACCCACCTAATTTTGTTTTTATTAAACATTTATGTACGGTACATGAAAATTAAATGGATTTTATTTGCCAATTTTGTAATAATTGAAAATACACCTGATATGTTTTTACTCTACAGGGACTTGACAACTGATTTCATTTTTTTTCTTTGCCTCATATTGTCATGAATTTTTTTTATTAGCTCTTGTTTTTAGTCATTGACAAGAAAATCTATGACACATTGCACTACTTTTTGTGCTCCATTTCACTGATGAATGAGCGATATTGTAATGTACAATTCCAGACATATTTTATTAGGTACCATAGACACCAGCTCTTTGTGGCTGCCAAAATGTATTCATCTGAGCTCAGCTGAACACCCATTTACTGCAAAAGAAAATAGCTAAAAAAGCCAAACAAAAAGCTGTACACATGTACAAAATTGTAATAACCTTTAAAACGTAAAAGACTATATGATATATACAGTATATATATACTGTAGTATCATGATCTAGTTTATATTTGTGTAAAATCTTAAAGAGATTAAAGTAAACATACTGTATATTGCAACTAATAGGGGACGACAAATTTGAATTTGAAAAAAAATCAACACCAATTATAGGCATGCTTTGAATTTTGGGTTTTGCAAAAAAAATAAATAGAGATCCGTGGAAATGTTTAACTTTAAAGAAAGTAAACACAAGTATTTAAATAATTTCAGAACTTAATTACAGAACCACCTGTTGAAAATACCTAACACACCTGTATTAAAAGACACAGAGAAGATTTTTCAGAATAAAAGACCGTGATAATAAATTTAACTACATCTTCTATTATATTTTATCATTTTTAGAATTTATTTACCTCTCACACAATAACCACTGGATAACTACTAATAAAAAACTGTATTCTTTAATAATTACATGGTTGAGTCTGATAGTAAACAATGTGATCAGAATTAAACACTGAACAAAGAATTCAATATAATTTAGAACTAAGCAGTAAAACTATACAGTATGTACAGAGGTCTCATAAAGCAAAATAATATGCCAATATGCTTATCTACAGACTATTTACTATCTTTATACTTTCTTCTGATGACAGATACCTTTTCCTATTCCTCAGTGACCCCCTTTTTATGTTTTTTTTTGCCTATGCTAAGATCTTTCTGCAAGTACTCTACAGAGAAGCAATGTATTTAATATCCTTATGCTGTATATTTTATATTAAGCTTAAAATCTTCTTCTTACTATTTATCTGTAACATTTCTTGTTTTTTTAGTTGCAAATTGGGAATCTCATAGGAGAAAAGAACATCTATTTGCAAGCTACTTCTAATTAACAGTGCCTGGAAGGTACAAATTAATTAGAGAAGATGTAACTTTTTACTACTAAGCTTATAAATGTAAGGGTTGCCTAATAATTCTGACCTACAGTATGTTGTTTATACAGTATAAAAAGCACACAAACATACTGTATGTAAATTACAGTAGACTGGATATATTTTAATAACAATGCAATGAACTGACACATATAAATGGATAGCATACATTGACATTAACTTTCCTGGCTGAGCAAATGACAGTGCTGGCCAAAGAATAGCGCTGTCACAACCCCACTCTCTTATGAGAAATGAGACAAGAAGGAAATGGTGCAATGGTGAACTTAGAATAGAGGGAGGGGTGGAAAAGATTCCAGCAGAGTTGTGTGCCATAGGGGAATATTTATATACAAGGGAGTGAAAGTGGGACATATGAATATGACCTCCTCCTGAATGTCTTTTAAATACAGTAACACCATTAAAGCAGTTTGGTCAAATTCTTATAACGACGAAACAAGCCAATGAATACACAGTAAAGGCTGGCTGAGGAAATGACAGTACTGGCCAAAGTTCAATATTTGACCTTAATTAAAATAGAACTTTGACAAATATGCAGATTGAAATTTTCCAACCAAATACCTGATGGTGGTTTACCACTGGGTAGGCAAAGAAATCCTGTAAAAAACATATCCTCATAGCAAGTACCATATATGGAATTTGACATTGGCATACCAAGTATGCGATCAATTTTAACTTATTCTTTCATGTTCTGCTAGTTGAAAGTATGCCAACATATTGTTATGTTAGTATGAAGGGGTCAAGTAACATTTTCCTCAAAGTTGCAAGCTTGCCCACATAAGGTGTACCTCTAATGCATTTCCTTAGGAGATTATGAAGAAATGTGCTGTAGGAGCATACAGTAACACTTGGTGAGTTGTACCTTGTCCTAGGAAATGAGCTCCTTCCACTGTTTGAGTAGGGCAGCCTTCCCAGCTGTGATAGACACCACCTATCTCCTCTGCTCCCTCCCAGTCCAATGGCTCCCACACTTCACCTGGAGAGTCCATCTTTTTAATGAACACATTGGTGATGCAGCCCAGAAAGTTCCTGTCTGTGAATTTGGTGGGTCCTGGGGGTGGTTTATAAAGTTTATATTAAAGGATGCTTACTTATAAGATTTTTTTCTTTAACACTTAATACTTTTGATAAAATGGGATAGATGATCCTAGAGCACAATACCTGTATCGTCTCTTAAAATTAGAAAGCCTTGTGGAAGACCACCAATAAAGATTCCAGTGTTCTCACCGATGATAGTGTTACCACTTGTAGCAAAAGCAGATCCTTCGTGGGAAAAAAATATAAGACATGAAGCACTTCTTCTTAAAAAAACATAAAACAGTTTAATAATGACTGGAAATGTGATGAAAGATCCAATTATTTAAGTGTAACAGACAATGCTTACAGGGCTGCAATTATTGTATCTGACAGTAAGATAGCTTCTTAGTGCTATATATTAAACATTCATTCATATTTGTAAGTGGTTACTAAGGTTCTTGGTGATTAGTTAACTACCAAAGAAACTAGTTGAAAGTATATGTCATAAATGTTTATTTCCACATCTCTATAGAACAAAGTTGCAGAAATAGGAATCACGACACTGTCTTAGATGAGCTAATTTACCTTAAATATGAAAAAAATATTCATAAAAACAGAATGATGGGCTAATAAAACACAAAAAAATCAACAAGTATAGTTAAATAAACTTGTTGTATAGTTAAATAAAATATTTAAATTGCTGAAAAAAAATTCAGAAATACAAAGAAACAGAATACAGATATCTTGAACCTCTGAGAAACTCCATTAACAAGCATGGTGAACATGTGAATCAACAAGCCCCTGTGAAAAAGGTGCAGGTCCTTGGCTGCATACTGTATCTTAATTGAAATGCAAGTTCAAAAAGGGAAAAAAAACTATTTTCCTAATTATTCTAATCTCACAATGGAAGGCAAAGATTAACCTTGATAATTCCTCACCTTGGAATTTGTAGAACCAGGGTTTAAAAGAAATTGACAGAAAAGAATCAGTCTCAAGGCAGGCTATGAATATGATGAATCTAAGCATAGGATGTTAACTATTACCTCTGTATTGATTGTCTACAATGATTGTTCCCACGGCCTTGTTTCTTGTAGCAATCACATGGTGCCACTGGTTGTCATTATACAGCTTTCCTTCATCATTTTCAGGACTAACTGCCACAGGAGATGCCTTAGAAAAAAGAAAAAGAAGAATTCCAGTGACTGCTGATTCTTTTGATATCTTTGAGTATTTTGAATAAATGAAACACATCCCCTCATCATCTTTTCTTTTCAAGATTAAGAACATTCTATTCTTTTAACCTCTCTGTGCGGGGCATTCTTCTAAGCCCAGAAATGTATCTTTGGTCACTCTTTTATTAGAGTGTTTCCTGAGTATCTTTTTTTTTGCAATACAGTTACGAAAATTATTTTCTAAAAGTTTAGTATATTGTACATTTTGAACATAATACCCCTTGATTTAAATTCTGTACTTTTAACTATAATTTAACTCTACAACCTACTGTAACATTCTGTTTGCCTTTTTATTCTTCTCAAAGCATATAAGGAAAATTATTTGTCAACATAAATATATAATATTGTTTCCAATGTACAGGTTGTAGTGTTTCTTATTTAGTTAAAACACTTTGTTTAAATACTTGTACTTGTATATATGAAATGTTAATTGAATGTTCTGGATGTGCAGAATGGTCTTCACTTGTTTTTAACCTTTGAAATGGTCTTATTTTCTCTATAGCAAAGAATTAGGTAAACACTTCAGGAAGGAAGGGAAGAGTCAGCACGATCCTGCGACAAGTACAGGAAGAGGTAAACTAAAAGTAGTCATAACAGTAGTAGTATATTCCTGGCCATCATGGCCAGTAAAACAATCAAGAAGAAAGCAGCAAGCCAGGACAGTGTTCAGCCAGTAAAGAAACGTGTACTTGTAGAGGAAAAGTAGCTTGTGTTCAGTGCAGCAAGGTAGGAACCAGACTCCAGGAAAAAACACAGCCCATGGAACCCAAGGAGGAAACACCAGTGTGTCAGTGGAATGGTGGGCTTCTACTCCAAGCACACACAATAGCTCTATATGTTGTGCCATATTTGATCCAAACAGTTTCAGGAATGGCTCTCACCCGAGGTACAGCACAGGAGCTCCACCTGAATGAATATTTGCCTCCTGTGAAATTTCAGTCCAGTGAAGATCAGAACACTACAAAGGAGTCTCATAGGAATGTTAAACCACTACTGTGGGATTTTAGTCTGAGATCTTGGTGTGTATATGTCAGCCTCTGGCAGGGGCTATGATGGACATCCCTACAGGGACTAAGGTTAGGGTCACCCTAACAGGAGCAGGGTCAGAGATCATACAGCTGGAGCCAAAGCAACATCCGAAGAAAAAAAAAAAAGTAAGATTGTAGATTTAAAGTATTTCTATCAGTTGCTCTGGGGATTAAGGCCGCTTTACTCAACTGTGTCGGGCAGTGCTGCAATTCACAAAGCCCTTAGACATAAAAATATAGACATTGATGTAAATCGTTAATACATGAACAGGTCTGTACATGCTCTGCTGTTCTCGCAGTATGTGTGTCAGCCATTTAGCAGGTGCATATAGCCTCTATACATGCATGTAGACACAGGAATAATGCACCTCCGGGCATGCTTTAAACACACAGCACCAGCAGGAGAGAAAGAGCATGTGAGTGCAGAGGTCTCCAGTGAACGGAAGGAGCTGTAGCAAAATGGGACCTCTCCTGAAGCCTATCTTCCCCTTCAGTTACCACCATTTGGCAGAGTGGCTAAATGGGGATAGGTTGTCACCACCAAAGAGTGCAGTCTCTGGTAGGGAATGAGTGTGCTGAATGCTTGCTTTCAGTCTTTTACAATATCTCTCATTTAAATAAAGGTGGCATACCTCATGCCTTTTAATTTACACATAGGGCTGTGTTCTATGAATTGTGTGTCCTTCATGACCTACCAAAACAATAGGATATATTACAATATGATTAAATTATATACAGACTGGTTGTCAGAGTGAATATCTTACTGAAATGCGATCAAAAGGGGGGATTTTCTCAGTTAGCATCACCTTATAAAACTAAGAAAAATAGGCAAATCAATTTCAAACCTTTTTCTTTAAGATCATATAACTAGTATCCCATCTTTAGGACAGATCTTTAGGATCTTTAGGGGAGACAACTATTATTTTTGTAATGGTTTCTTTTGTGGAGCTATATTTGAGGACTAGAGTTCTTTTAATTTCAGAATAAAACAAGTAAAATGAGGCTTTGCAGGTGACAGAATGGTAGTCGGGGGAGACTTAGAAAGACGAGCTATTTGTATTTTGTTGTTATGTACTGTATATACACAGTAGACAGTATACTTTACTGGAGAAAACATCATATACGATTCAGTCTTCACATTGGTGAAGCTTCAAGATAGGCTTTCACCATCATGATTACAATGTAGGGGATTTAGTGTGGTTTGATGACCCAGTCAACTCCTGGCTCAAAACTAGGAACACCCAATCTGAAGTTCTGTATACAACTGTGGACAGTACAAAATGATAAGCAGAACACCAAGTAGTACACCACAACAGGCTTAAACCCTACACACCAGGGAGATATCTACAGCATTGTGCAAAAATCCAGCAGAACATGCCTGGCTACCTGTATCCTTTGACAGCATTGACAGAAGCATTGCTTCCATCAGAATCATAATCTTCTGGCTCTAGCCCTGTCCTACCTGCTACAACGGAGCATAGAAATAATTCACAGCAAGGTAGTTTATCATAAAACCTGCATGTACCATCTGCTTCTGCTTTGTGTCTTCTTCACAGCGCCAGTGTTTTAGCACCATTGCCAGGAGATTCAAGGCTAACACGTAATGAGCATCATCTTCTCTAAAGGATTATAAACTGACAATGTGGGACTTTATGGAGTTGTGTCCAACCTACCAAAGTAAAGCCAACTGAAATTGAATAGTTTTGGCATGTTTGCAATGTGTTGTTTTGTTACAAAATTACTATTCCATTTAGTTTACTTATGAAAGAAAAGGTGTTTTTAAATTTTAAAATAAAACAAGTACTAGATCTACTGAGGGTGGCAGTTGGAGAGAGAAAGATCAAAGAACAAGGGAAATCTTATACACCTTGTATTTAATCTTCATAGGTCCTTTCTGCCTGCCTCAGTTTTTGTTGCCTCCCGTTTTTTTTTTGTGTTAGTGTGCCATCCAAGATGTTGGGGGCTTAAATGACTTGAATTTTCTTTGACCATCTTATTTTCAGTCAAGACAAACCTGAAAAGGTTCATATTTCCTGAACTAGGTAAAATGGATGATATTCTTAAAAATAACAATCCTTCTTAGATTTCTGGCTTTGAGAGAGAAGAACTCGTACATGGATAGGGCTCACAGAATCTGTTGGGACTAATGCTTTTCTTTTGTTTTGGAATGTATGAGGGCTATTTTATGCCGTGCAGGAATAAAATAGATCCTATGTTGGGTCTCATTAGAAACAACAGGATGTTTGTAGATTTCTAAATAAATGTTAAAGTGTGGCAGACTCTTTTTTGCAAAGAAACAAAATAAAATGTTGCTTTAATTGTATTGTGAAGGAAATACAACAAACACTAAAGTGCAATAAAAAAGAATGCATTTTTTTAGATACACATACAGATGCAGCCATTCAAAATGCACGGTACAACCCCGTACTGCACAAAATTATCCACAGTTCATCGCTATGATTGGCTGGCCAAAATGACCAACAGGGCCACTCGTGGTGCATTGGTTGTCAGTGAAACGATTTAATCATTTAATCCTTTTACTGTGAATGTTTTAATCCGCTTAATATTGGATATTTATATAGATATTTACAACTAAAGGGAAATTTTAGTAGCTGAGCATAAAAATAAGAGGGGCATAACGCATCTGAAGGTCATAAACAATATTAATTTAGGAACATAAAGATATTATGTAAACTGTACAGTATATGGCTGGTATTGGTAGTTTAAATAAAAAATACACACCAGTATTCCACTTTCTTCCTAAACATTTTAAACATCAAAGTCTTTCATTCGGTTACATACTGTGGTTATTTTGGAAAAGTTTTTATGTGCTCCTTCTGAATATATTAAGTTTATATACTTCATAAAAAGTTATAATGTTTTAACATTTCCTATGAATATTTGCACTCGTTATAGCAGTAAAAAAACACATACTTTTTAGAATTTAATTGATAGGGAATATAATATGGAATCACGTATCTAAACTAATAATGATATAATTATATTCATATACAGGTAGCTCAAATGATCACAGTAGTACACTTTCTTTGTAAATGTGTGCATCAGTTTAACTCATTCACCTATGATTATGTGTGTGGTGTAATGGGTTAGGCATGTACCTTGCATGCTGGAGGTTGGGGGTTCAAACCCGGCTGTCACCATGAAACTTCTTTTAACAAACATTTCTTTGAAAAACTAAAATAGCAAATATTATGGACACTATATTGACATTTTTTATATTTCTAAATATCACAACATGATATTTGTGTGATATCGAAGCTAAGTCATTTATTAATAACTATGAATAATTTCAAACTGCTACTGTACTGCCACTACAGTATAGATTGTGGGAAATACATTTACTTGTCCTGCATCAATGTTTAACTCGTTCAGAGCGCCCTACATTACAAATTCCAAGCGTTTCAATTTGTCTATTGCTACAATATTGACAGCAATGTAGTTAAAAGGAACATGTCAAAATGTTTCCAAAATGTTTCCAAAATGACCACAAATGAACGAGTTGAGGGATTTGATAATAATAGAGAAATCATAACAATGACCCCGTGTTGCTAATCATGCATACCAAACTGTACTGTAATTAACTTTCTTTGTAAACACGTTTTATTTTTAATTTGACTCATTCATGCATAATGAATTGTGAGAGAGAGATAGATGGAGGTACTTTTCAAAAGCGATTTTGTTTTTAAACAACCTGAGGGGAAGGAAAAGTGCCCACGGTAATTTTGTTCACTGACAGACAAAATAGAATAACGTAGAGTACATAACGTGGTTATGTATCGGGAAAGTTTGCAAATGTTGTGATAATTGTACAGTATATGTGTTTGGGAACACATTCATTTTCGAGCAGGTAATTGCTAACTCCTGCTGCCATAGAGTGTTTTGGAATCTA